TTTTTTTTTTTTTTTTTTTTTTTTGACTATGCGCGCATAGCATCGGAAGATTCTACGTGTCATTCTAAGCAAATGCGCCGAAGAAACCAAGGGTCTAAAATCAGTTTGGAGCTTTCCAAATTGCGAAAATAGGTTTTGAAGTAGATGTGAAACTTTTCATTGCGGCGCACTCTGGTTGAAGTTTTAAGAAAAAGGTAAAGCAGAAATAGATTCCTCATACCAAAAAATCCCTTATAGCATGTTTACCACAAAATTTATGCACTTCTTTATGACATTGCAGCGAAATGCTATTTAAGATACCTATTTTCGCAATTTGGCAAACTCTAAATTAATTTTAGACCCATGGTTTCTTCGGCAAATTCGCTTAGAATTACACGTATAGTCCTTCTCCCATACAAATTGACCCGCCCTAGTATGTACATATCTCAATGTATGTCTGGCTTAACGAACATTGAGGTTATGTGGCTGGTTGCTTTTCACAAAGCAAACTAACAAGCAGCAAGCGAAGAAAAAACTGTAAGAAAATTCCTTGCAAACTACTTAGGCAGGTATACGCACATAGCCACACACACAAAAAAAAGGACAATGAGATAATATCTTCATGCGTGCAATGGTTTGGCTTTTACCGACTGGCGGCAAACCACAACAAATGATGCCATCATCCTTTATGAGGCTGCTAAAATGTAGCTAATAGGTTGCTCGCTGGCGTCATTGATGTGGCAGAACTTACGAACTAGTAAGTACAATTCGAAGGTTGCCTGTCTGACAGGGCGAGTTACTGATTGTCGACTGACTACCTGACAGCTGACTAACTGTTTGACTACTGTCATACATAGAGTGTTTGCCTGTGCAGTGTCAAAGTGAGAACAAGTATTTTGCTGTTTGATTATTTGAGAGCTTGCTTTATCTCTGATATTTTAATTCGTGTGAAGAAATATTTTTAATAACTATCAAATGATTTTGGCAACCACAGCGATAACTTAACTGGTAACTATAATGATCACGATAACTGCAACTCTAATTATGGATTTAACTGTAAACATGGCCATAGCCATAATCATGGCCGCAACCTTAACCATAGCCATAACTATGAACATATTCATAACCATTACCAAAATCGTAACCATAACCATAAACATTACCATAACCATAACCTTTGTTATAACCATAATCATCATCAAACAAACCAAACCATAATCATAACCTTCAACATAACCATAACCATTACCATAACCATGGCCTTAATCATGACCATAGCCATTATTATAACCACAACCATAACCCTAACCACAACCATAACTATAACCATGATCATAACCACAACCTTAACCGTAACCATAACCATAACCATAACCCTACCCATAACCATAACCTCAATATAACCATAACCCCAACCATAACCCTAACCATAACCATAACCATAACCATAATCCCAACCTAAACCATAACTATACCAAATCATCACCTTCCGTAACCACAACGTTAACCATAACCATAATGATAAAAAAAAAGATACATATAATGAAATCCACAAGGATTACGATAACTATCAAGATAACGATATCGATAACTATAACGATGAAAAATCGATAATCAATTTTTAGGCGTTGCACATTTGAGCTCGTGTCCGCCGAGCGCATGTTCACTTTACTTCTATTTTTTTAAGCTTATTTCTACATATTTCGACTCTCTTCGAAGCATTTGTTTTTTTTTTTTATTATTCGGGTGTTTGTTAGAAAGTTCAAGATCCACTGAAATACATTACCGCCTGTTATAACTTTACTAAAATCCAGCAAAACGAAATTTATCTCGCGTGTAACGAAGTTCCTTGATCATCTCCATCCTAAGTTTTGTTGCAAAAGAAAGTGCTGTCACTGTTTCAACACTTACACTTCCGGCATATCTTTAAATAAATGTGCGTGCATTAATGCGAATACTC